CAGGGAGCCCGATGCGGGGCTCGATCCCAGGACCCTGGGATCACGACCTGAGCCGAAGGCAGACGCTTAACGACTGAGCCACCCAGGTGCCCCTAGTAACCACATTTTTAAAAGTAAAAAGAAATAGATAAAATTCATTTAAATAATTAATTTAGCCTAATATTTCCAAAGTCTTGCCATTTCAGCATTAATCATTATAATAGTATTGCTAAGAGCGTTCCTCGGGCCACAGTACCCTCGTGGCCAGTGGCCAACAGGCTGTGTTCAGGGGTCAGGGTCACAGCCTTTGCTTCTGCTGTGTCAGGGACAGGCTTCCTGGAACATCCCCGTGCCACCAACCCATCTCCTACTGCGGCCAGCAGGAAGCCCTCCCATCATGGGGCCTCCCGCAGGCTGGGTCTCCTGGGCCTGTGGAGTCAGGGCAGCTGCCAAGGGGCCAGGGCCTCAAAACCAAGCTCCTCCTGCAGGTTCGCCCCATGTCCCAAGATGAGGATGCATCATCTCAGGGACGAGCTTCTCTCTGCACCAGGACCGCCCAGCCAGCCCCAGGTTTTCCCAAGTGGTTGGCTTTTTTATTGCTTTCTTTTTCACTGTGGTAAAATGCACTTAGCATACAATTTATGATCTTGACCATTTTTAAGTGTCCATTCAGTGGTATTACGCACATTCATACCATCAGTCTCCAGAACCTTTTCATCTTACACAACTGAAACTCTGTCCCCATGAAACACTAACTCCCGAGCCACTCTTCCCCAGCGCCTGACAACCACCCCTTCCTTGCTGTCTCTATGGGCTATTCTAGGGGCCTCAGGCAAGTGGGATCGTCTTTTTGTGCCTGGCTTATGTCTCTGAGCATGATGTCCTTAAGTTTCATCCATGTCGCGGCAGGTGTCAGAATGTCCTTTCTTCTTAAGGCTGAGTATACTCCAGAGTCTGGATAGACTGTATTTATCCGTCAGGTGTGGGTGGACACCCGGGTTGCTTCTGCCGTTTGGCCATCGTGAACAGTGCTATGGGCGTACAAACATCTGGTTGAGTCCCTGCTTTCAATGCTTTGGGGACTATACTCAGGAGTAGAATTGCTAGATCATATGGTAATTCTACTTTTAATTTTTTGAAGAATTTCCATACTGTTTCCCAAAGTGGATATACAATTTTGCATTCCCACCAACCATGCAGGAAGGTTCTCATTTCTCCACGTCCGCACCAAAAATCACCATTTTCTCAGGGTTTGGGGTTTGTTTGTTATTTTTTATAATAGTCATCCTGGGTGTGAGATGGTATCCTAGTGTGGTTTTGGTTTGCATTTATCACATGATGAGTGATGTTGAGCCCTTTTTCATGTGCTGATTAACCATTTGTGATCTTCTTTGGAGAAATGTCTGTTTAAGTTCTTTGCCCATTTTTAAGTGTGTAATTGGGTTGTTTGATTTTTGCTATTGAATTTTCATTTTCTGTGTGTCCTGGATATCAATCCCTGATCAAATGTGTGATGCAAATACTTTCTCCTGTTCTGCGTGTTACCCATTCGCTCTGTTGACTGTGTCCTTTGATGCATAGTTTGTTAATTTGTATGTAGTCTGGAGCATCTGCTTTTCCTTTTGTTGTCTGTGCCTTTGGTCCTATATCCAAGAACTTACTGCCAGATCCAGTGTTGTCAAGTTGATGCCCGTCATTTTCCTCTAAGAATTTTGTACTCTTAACTCCTCCATTTAGATCTTTGATCCATTTTGAGCTAATACTGTGTAAGGTGTGAGGTAGGGGTCCAGCTTCCTTCTTCTGCACGTGGCTGTCCCGTTTTCCCCGTATTGTTTCCAGTACAATGGTCTGAGCAGCCTTCTAGGAAATCATGTGCCCATATCTGTGAGGGTTATTTCTGGGCTCTCTGTCTGTCCCATGGTCTCTATGTCTGTCTTTAGGCCAATGGCACACTGTTTTGACTACTGCAGCTTGGTGGTAAGTTTTGAAAGCAGGACACGAGAGTCCTCCAGCTTTGTCCTTCCTTCTCAAGATTGTTTCAGGCACCCCTCAAGACTCCACATGAATCTTTTTTTTTTTTTAAAGATTTTATTCGGTGATGCCAG